GGTTTTTTCTCTCACATACTATAAAATCCAAAGCTTCATCCAAAAGGTAAAAGTGTTCATCACAAACAGCTCTTATCTACCTGTTTGAGTCATTAAACATATAGAGATTTCTTGGCCTTAGTTACATCAGATTAATTTATATTATGTTTCCTTGAAACTGCTTTGTAAATCGGACTTTTCACTAAGAATGATAGTCTACCTCACTGGGGTAAATTAATGAAGTTTCACAGCATTACTGACAGTCTATTTTTTAATTGTTATTTCTCTCAGTCTTTCCAAATGTTTGAAATCCTTAGCTTATGGCATGGCTCTATTTATATATCACAACATTCTTTTTTTCCGGTGATACTACTGAGCTGACCCCCCAAATCACAAGAACATTGTAGAATATAGTTTGACTTTAAAAGTCATAAAATCCTAAGTCTAAGGTTTCCAAGTTTAGTACCTAGGTTTTTTTTTTTCTTTACAATTTATTGTTTCAGGTCTTATATTCAGGTCCTTAATCCATTTTGAGTTAATTTTGGTGTGTGGCGATAAACAACAGTCTAGTTCCATTCTTTTGTAGGTGGCTTTCCAGTTTTCCCAGTACCATTTATTGAAGAGGCTTTCCTTTCTCCATTGCATGTTTTCAGCTTCTTTGTTGAAAATTATTTGCCCATATAAGCAGGGGTTTACTTCTGGACTCTCAATCTATTCCACTGGTCTGTATATCTGATTTTCTGCCGATGCCATGCCGTTTTGATTATTGTCGCTTTGTAGTATAATTTGAAGTTGGGCAGAGTGATGCCTCCAGCTTCGTTCTTTTTTCTCAGGATGGCTTTTTGAAGCCATTTGGCAATTCAGAGTCTTTTGTACTTCCATAGAAATCTGATGATTTTTTGGTTCTATTTCTTTAAAGAGTGCCAATGAGATTTTGTATCTTCTTTAATTTCTTTTAATAAGATCTTATAGTTTTCATTATATAGGTCCTTCACATGTTTCATTAGATTTACTCCTAGCTGTTTTATTCTTTTTCTTGCAATTGTGAAAGGAATCGTTTTTTTTCATTTCTTTTTCTGACAATTCATTATTAGAGTATAGGAATGCTATGGATTTTTGCATGTTGATCTTATATCTAGAAATTTAATGTATTTGCTTATTATTTCTAGTAGTGTTCTTGTGGAGTCTTTAGGGTTTTCTATATAGAGAATCATGTCATCTGCAAATAGTGACAGTTTAACTTCTTCGTTTCCTATTTGGATGCCTTTTATATCTTTCTCTTGTCTGATTGCACTCGCTAGGACCACCAATGTTATATTGAATAACAGTGATGATGGTGGACAGCTTTGTTTTGTTCCTGATATTAGAGGAAAGGTTTTTACTTTTTCATTGCTAAGTATAATGTTGGCTGAGGGTTTGTCATAGATGGCCTTTATTATGTTAAGGTACTTTCCTTCTATATCTATTTTATTAAGCGTTTTGATCATAAATGGGTGCTGTATCTTGTCGAAGGCTTTTTCTGCATCTATTGATATGATCATATGATTCTTATTTTTTAATTTGTGTATGTGGTGTATCACATTAATCAATTTGCATATGTTGAACCTGTGATATGAATCTCTGTGCCTCTGGGATGAAGCCCACTCGATCACGGTGTATAATCTTTTTAATATGTTGCTGTTTTCTGTTCCCTAGTATCTTATTTAGGATTTTTGTATCTGTGTTCATGAGAGATAGTGGTCTTTAGTTTTATTTTTTTGTGTTATCTTTACCAGGTTTTGGTATCAGAGCAATATTGGCCTCATAAAATGAGTTGACAAGTATTGCCTCCTCTTTGATTTTTTGGAAGCGTTTAAGGAGAATAAGTATTAAGTCTTCTTTGAATGTTAGGTAGAATTCACTGGTGAAGCCATCTGGTCCTCCCAGGCCTTGTTTAGCTAATAATTTTAACATTCCTCCAAGAAACCAAATTTTCTTTATTTTCTATGTTCATAAATAGAAAAATGGTTGACAGGGAGGCAATGGTGGCAAAAAGAAGGCTTGTAGAACCTGGAACCTGTCTTTCCAATAAGCAGGAAGTGGTTCTCACATGCAGGTTATGTTGTTCACTTTCTGTTGTCAGGCACTGTCATGTCTGTCTGTGACATCATGTGGTTGCCAAAGCAACCTAATAAAGACTCATTCTAGACTCTACCTCTGAAAAATTTCAGATGAGGCTGAGGAGTCCTCTTCAAGACCTGTAAGTGTGAGGATGATTGTGTCCTGAGCATGGAGGTTAGGCAGAAAGATTCAGCCACCAGCTAGAAGTTTATTTTCCTTGAGCCCATGTGGAACTGACAACTTGGAAGGTAAGAACTCTTAAAGGAGAAGAGGAGTTGAATGAAATCTGGGTAGGCCTGGAACCATATGTTTGAAAGTTAATCTTCCTCTGTTTAGTTGTTTGGCCAACTCTTGTGGACTTTATATTTATATTTATAATATATATTTATAATATATATCATACTTT